ATCTGTGTGCTAAACACAGAATGAATTTTGGAACACAAGACTTTGCAATGCAGGATGTAATGAGGAACAAAATATTTAAAACACCCATGCTTTTCACCCCAAACCACATACTATTCTCAGGATCCATTCATGCCAATATACACAAAGATGCCAGACTGTTCAGTGACCAGTTGTGGTGTTAGTAGCAAGCATCTTAATTGCTGAGAACTCTTCTGATGGCAGATTTTCTTCTAGGTCCAGTAATAATAATGTGAAATATTTTTGAAGCATATTAGTATATTCAGAATGCTTTACATGCAGTGGCCCATTTCACACGTAATGATAAGCCATGTTTTAGTGCTACATGGGTGACCATTAGAGCAACAACTGAAGAAAGGCAGAACATGCAGAAAACGCTTGAATCACCATCTGATTTTCCTGATGTGAGCAAAGAAAGGATAGCAATTTTTAGTTTGGAAGCATTTGATATTTTAAATAGGATGAAAGGCTGACCATTGAGACCATTACTGGGCAAGAAACCAGGTAGGAGATTGGAATGTCAGATAAAGGCTGCACAGTATTTGTAACTAACTTGAACAGATGTGAAATTTACAAAGTACCCACTGAAGAACCACAAACATGACATCCAACTGGCTAGTAGATTTTTCCTGTTTTGCATCTGAGTACAGACACTGTGGCTGTGCTATAGAAAGAAGAAATGAAATCCAGAGTTGATATACAGATATTGTAAATCTGCCATACAGTTTGATGAAGAATATTAGGGTAGGAAAGAGCTACATCAGGAACATGCAAGGAAAAAAGAAAGAGGTAAAATGAGGGTCAAAACATTTTAAAATAAGAGGAAGTGTATATGAAAGCCTAACCCAATTCTGTGGCCATTGAACTCCTAGGGAAATATAAAACCATTAGGCTTTCAAACAAAAGCACAATAAGCACATCTCAGATTTAGAGGGAATTATCAGTGTTTATTTAGAAAGAAAAAAATATAACATGAAAAGATCATGGGAGAAAAATAGTCGTCTTTGATGTGCAATAATTAATTCCTTAACTGACGTGATAGCTTTACAGTGGTGCCTCCTTTCGCAAGACGAAAATAACCCGTTCCGCGAGTCTCTTCGTCTAGCGGTTTTTTCATCTTGCGAAGCAACCCTATTAGCGGCTTAGCGCTATTAGTGGCTTAAGCGGCTTAGCGGCTTAGAAAAAGGGGGGGAGTGAAAAAAATCGCAAGACTCGCAAGACATTTTCGTCTTGCGAAGCAAGCCCATAGGGAAATTCGTCTTGCGAAGCAACTAAAAAACGGAAAACCCTTTCGTCTAGCGGGTTTTCCGTCTTGCGAGGCATTCGTCTTGCGGGGCACCACTGTATTGTGTTCTTTACCTTCTTCCTATTGTTGAGTTTAAACTTAATTCACTTAAGTGAATTGGTAACCTTTCGTTTAATGGCACAGTAGCAGCTAAGAACATAGCATGTGAATCAAGGAGTTGCTTTAAGGGTCAGGGCAATATGACCTGGTTATAAATTAATCTTGCAGAGGCCTATTTTCCCAGTCTAGTCATCTCACAGAGGCTAGCTGTCTATTTTAAAGTGTCCTTAATCCCTGGAACTTTATATATAAGGCTCTGATCAATGGAGTAAAAACAGGTGACAGTTGTATTAAAATGAAATCCATTAGCATGGTACAGTGGTACCTCTGGTTACGTACTTAATTTGTTCCGGAGGTCCGTTCTTAACCTGAAACTGTTCTTAACCTGAAGCACCACTTTAGCTAATGGGGCCTCCCACTGCTGCCGTGCCGCTGTCGCACGATTTCTGTTCTCATCCTGAAGCAAAGTTCTTAACCCGAGGTACTATTTCTGGGTTAGCGGAGTCTGTAACCTGAAGTATATGTAACCCGAGGTACCACAGTAATAATAAGAAGCATTTCCGGACTACTTTTTTTTAATGAGATTGCACTAAACACAAGAAATGTTTGGTACACCAGTTACAGAATTAATAAGATCAATCAACTTCAGGGCTGGGATACCATCTTTTCCTTCTCCACCTAAATTTATGTCTGCCTTAAACATTGTGACAAGAGCTGCCCAAAGTGGTTACAAAAAAACCTCAGCAGTTAGAAATACTTGAAATCAGATTTTCTATTGCCTGGTATCCCAAAAACTCACCTATCGAACAGTGTCAGGTAGGAGCAGCCAGGCTGGTTCATTTTGCAGAAGAGTGCCTGCACATTTTGCTTCATAACTTCCTTTCTAGGAGGGCTAGACAGTTGAGTTTTTAAAAAAGTCAGTCTGGGGCTCTTGCCCAGGCCTTGGAGGTTTAATGTGTATCCACTTAAAAGTACCTGTAAAACACTTATATGTAGAAGCTTTACATTTTCCATTTTTCAGCAGTATCCTGCCCCCATTCTCCCTCTGAAAACTGCCTTCAAAGGTTGAGCTCCAAAGTGATACTTCATGAGACATTCAGAGTTGCCATTGCAAAAGGAAACTGCAGACATACTCTTGTAGAAATATTTTTTTCCACACACACATGCATGTACAGTGGTACCTCGGGTTACAGACGCTTCAGGTTACAGATGCTTCAGGTTACAGACTCCGCTAACCCAGAAATAGTACCTCGGGTTAAGTACTTTGCTTCAGGATGAGAACAGAAATTGTGCTGTGGCAGTGGGAGGCCCCATTAGCGAAAGTGGTGCCTCAGATTAAGAACAGTTTCAGGTTAAGAATGGAGATCCAGAACGAATTAAGTTCTTAACCCGAGGTACCACTGTACTGGCTTCCAGATATTATGCTTTGAGTTAGGATAGCTCAGAACTTCAAGAATACTTTGAAAAGGGCTTTGGCACTTTAAAAATTATTATACCCCCCCCCAAAAAACAACCCTATTGCACCATCTTGAAAATGAGAGTGTGGGTGGGTGGGTGGGTATGGCTATATAAAAGTTAGGATAGAATCTCAACCAATAATGTACTCCAGTGCCATGGGAGTAAAGCACACCTTATGTAGTTTCATAACTGCCCTTGTGTGGTGCTGTGCAGTTTTGGGCTCTTCAGGCCTGAACAGATGGTAGTGTTATGAGCACATCATTACCAGTGGTGTTAGATGTTTGCTCTGTTGTGTTTCCATTCAAAAACTCCTCTGTAAAAGTCAGTCATTAAAAAGCACTTTAGGCTAAAATTTGATAGGCAGGCACCTTGTGGTATTAGCCATTTTTTCCACCCATTGGGGAAATCTTGTAATTGTTTGAGCAGACTTTACTGTGGATGGTATTTGTATTGGAAATAGTCCTTTTCTGCTATATGTTCCTGCAGGAGATCTTTGACCTTGGAGCTGTTAATACACAGGCACAGACTACAGGCCCCCAGCCATAGTCATTTGGTTTTCAAGGTAGCTGTGTTTCTTTGCCAGACTCTGCACCTACCAAGGGAAGGGGGTAAGGTCCTGGAATCCAGGCAAGGCTGGGTGCAGTGAGGCAGAGGCAAAGAAGAAGCAAGACAGATCTGTGGCAAGGAGCAGCGGAAGAGTTCTTTCATTGTCTGGAGCACAGGTGGGAACCTTATTCAGCCCAAGGACTTCATTCCCACATGGGCAACCTTCCAAAGGAGGCCACATGCCTGTATTGGCCGGGGCAAAAGTGGGCAGAGCAATGGATGTGACTCTTTCCTTTGTACAGCAGGCTACATTCTAGCCATACAAAAGCCAGGGGTTTATATGCATGCACATAAACCCATCTTCATTAAGGCAGGCAAGAGATGTTTCATTCAGGCAAAAGGACTCAAGGAGGGCATGGAGTAGGACCGGTAAAGGGTGGGACACAGCCAGGGGAGAGTCACAAGGGCCGCATTGACCCCTGGGCCCAACCTTCCTCATCCCTGGTCTGACCTGGACAAAGTAGGCATAGCAGATCTGTTCTCCTGATAACAGATTTCTTTGAGTGAAATTATTACTTTAAGCAACATCCATTAGGGAAGTTGCAACAAACAACTTGTTTCCTAAGTTTCTTGTAATTTCTCATTGTTCTGCACTTCATAGTTATACAAGGCAACTCTGGTTCAGAACTGTGTGCACTGATGACTGCATGCTGCTGTTTTATAGGGCAAGGGAGCCTTGTCAGATTATAACAATGTAGAAAGAGAGAATCTTACAAACAATTGTGTGTGAATGAGTTTGCCAGTACTCCTTTGCTTGTACTTCTGACCTAGCCAAGATGATCTTCTAGTCTTTGGCAACAAATGGTAATCATTTGAAGATAAGACACTTCTCATTAAACAGATTAGTATTTAAGGCAGCTATTTAAAGCAGCCATTAGTATTTAAAGCAGTATTTAAAGTAGTTCCCATGATTCCTGTTTGTAGGGTGTTTAGTCTTCTATTCTTAGATCATAATCATCTAACAATTTAATTTTGGGTGGGTGGGCAACTTCATGCTTGAATGAAAAAGATTTCTGTACCCATTTCATTCCAGCTTCAGGCCTGGATATTGGGATGGAAACTGCATTGATCACCCTGAGCAGTGACCTGTTTGGGGAGAAGGACAGGAAGAGTGTGACTCTGTTAATTCTCCTTGACTGCACCACAGCTTTTGATACCATTGAGCATAGTATCCTTGTGGACTATCACATGATTTTGGGAGTTAGGGATAGCACATTGCTATGGTTCTTCTTTATTGAGGTCTGGCTCCAGAGACTATAACTGGGTTGCTACTGCTTGGCCCCATAGGAATTATTTTGTGGAATTCTGCAGGCTCCAGTCTTGTAACCCATTTTGTTTAATACGTTTTGAAGTTATTGGGAGCTGTCATTGGGGGATTTGGAGTGAAGTGCCATCAATATGCTGATGACACCCACCCCTGATAAGTTATGTTTATTACTAGAGAGTAGAAATGAAGTAGGGTTTTTTAAAACAACAACAGCAACAACAACCCAGATATAATTATTTCCTGGATTACATCTATGCTGTTAGATTCTTATTTAAAATTGTTATCATTTTATTTCTCTTTGCTCAGATGCAAGCTGGACTAGAGGCACTTGCCAGCCAGGGAAGGCTCTCCAGGGAGGCCATTTGAGGTCACTGGATGGTGTTCACCTCCAGCTGCTGGAAGGATTTCACTCTGTCCAATCTTGTCAAGCTACTTGCTGTCAGAGCCCTACCTGTGATGCCTTTTGGCTCAAGGGAAAGATGTGCATCCAGGTGAACTGTATAAAGCCTCATTGGTGTCAGGCAATCTGGACCAACACCACTGACTCGATCTTGGTGTTTGTAAAGAGATCTGAGCATACGATAAATGTCCAACCTGCAGCAGAGAGGAGAGGTTATCTTCCTAAGTGGCTGGACTGGAGGGAAGGACATCAAAGTAAAACAAGGATGAGAAGGTCCTTCAAAGAGTTGCTGGCTTACAGAGCACACTTGGCAGACATCAGGGGACGCTCTCTTAAGAGGGACACAGGCTCCAACAGCGGAGGTCCTGTAGCCCATCCTGCTCCATCTCAGCCCTTGGATAGTAAATCCACCCATAATGATCTGACGGAAGCTCCTTCTTCACATCAAGAAACAAACCTTCCCAGAAACCACATTGATCCAGAAAAAAACCTGCTGCCAAACAGTGAAGACTTGAGAACAACCAAATTCAAAAGCTCATCTCCCCCCAGCAGCAATAATGTGAACAGACCAAGTGACCTTGCTGGGAGTGGCCTCATGAGGGTAAGTGCAAGATAATATTGTTAATGTCAACACTAATCCAAATTCTGTTGTATAAATGCTTTCTAATCCTTTTATATTGCACAATAGCAGCAACATACTGGACATTGTTTGGAAATTCTAAGAAATAAAAAAAATCAAAACAGTTTTGAAAACAGTGGTTAGAATCAGTGCAGTTTTAAAAGGTTCAGTCCACTGCCTTGATGAGAAATGGTACCCAAAGGTTCACTCTTGCATTTGTGGATTAATGAACTGATAGGTCTGACTTGCTTGAAAGCCCACTACTGATGAGGAACCTCAAGCCCAGAGACTGAATGCAGCCTTTCAGGCCTCTCTATACAGCCCTTGGGACTCTCCTCAAGTCACACTCCTCACTGGCTTTGCTCCATGCTCTTCTCAGACAATTTTGTCTGGCTGAAATATGTCCATGAATTGTGATGATGGAGAGATATGTCTGTCAAGTAAAAAAATGAAGTTGGAAGACACCCCCCCTCCCAGCTTTTTCTTTAAGGAAGCCTGGAAGGGAAGAGAGCTTGTCAGCTGGGATGCCTCTGCTTGAAGGTACCTCAGACAGAGGGAAAGTCTGGCAGAGGAGGTCCACTGCCTTGGACACTCCTGATTGAAGGTAACTCACGTGCCTTTTCTAAGAGGAGTGCTGGGGGGGGGGGAGGACCATTACAGTTTAGACACAACTGCTGAAAGTCTAACCTCCCACACACTGGATTTTCTGGTGGAGAGCATTCCAGCTTGGGCACCATTAGGCAAAGCTGCTTGGATCACTTTTTCCTAGAGATCACCCCTCTGCCTGCACTGACCTTTCCTGTTCTGGAGCACAAAAGGCTACAAGTGCTGATTTAGCCTTGCATAGCCCAGGCTTTCCAGGCACCTTGGCCACAGAGCTGCCAAACATCTCCCAGTCTTCCCCCTTCATAGTTAGAAATAAAACTGGTTGCTTATAACTTCATGGCAAGTGCAACAAACAGAATGGTTGAACTCAGCATATGTGTGGGGTGTGTACCAAGTGTACTTTTTTACTCGCATCCAGATAAGGGTGTAACAGAGAGTCTACCACAGCAGACAACTCAGTGACATAACTCTTATCAGTGGGGTCTATCTCATTTTTAGAAATCCCTTGCTCAACTTAGTATGTTTTCAGTAGATTGTGGTTCTTAAAAGCTGTTATTCTCATGTACCTGGTTGCAGATTTTGCAGTCCCAGGTTACATTGCAGCTGTGATATGAGAACTGCCAACCACGTGGAACAGGATGTGGCTCAGAGCCAAAGGACACGACTAGGAGACCTGGAGCTATCCTAGTTAGCATGCAAAACAACCGCATGGTTTAACTTTGCCTTGCTGACTCAGCTGTCCCTCAGCCCTTGACTTCTTAACAGTCACTTAGGAACTGCTGTTTGGCTCCTCTGTCTCAGCAATACATCAATAATGATGCTTCCCTAAAACCGTAACCATCTGGCCTCTCACAAGAGACTGTCACTCAGGAAGTGATCCAGTGTGGTAGAGACTGCACTGCAATCCCTCTGCTAAGATTGATTCTTGCTTGCCCTAAGTGATAAATAGTAATGTGTCCCTAATTTCCCTGCTGATTTCAACAACAGGGTGTTGAGCTCTGAGCTATCAGATTCTCTTCTAATGCTCCAGCTGAGCAGAGAATGTAAAATTAAGGCTGTAAAAATAAATTCTCTGAAATCTGATGTTTTGCTGCAATTCCAGGCCACTTCCCTAGGGTTACCACTAAAGACCCATTTGTGATTTCTCTCATGATGAACTTAAATTTTTTGATTTCCAAGTTATGGAAAGCAGGTTTTGCAATAACTGAAGGTCCCCACCGGACAAAAATCTTCATAAGAAAAAGAGAATATAATTTGCACAACAGCCATCTTAAAATCACAGCCACAAGTAGTCCTACAACCCACATCCTCCTACAAGATCTAAGTGTAGTTATGTACATTTAAAGATTGATGCACACTGCCTATTTTGCTTCTTATAGTAATTTAAAAGGGGGACTTGCCAGGCAGTGTTGCTGTGTATCTCCACTGTCTCAGGCATACTCCTGTTCAGGGCTCCAGTCAACCAGAAGCCGGAGCCTTGCAGTGCTTTTCAGGGTTGCGGGGAGATATACAGGAGTGGGAAAGGGGTAGGATACACACACTGCTGCTAAGCAACCTCCTGCATTGCTATAGAGCTCCTAGTCCCAACCTGTCGTTCTCCCTTGGAAGTGGCATTTTTAAAGAATATTTTGCTTCTTATAGCAGTATTGTAGTTGATTGATAAATAGTGGATTTAAGACATATTCTCATAGGATCAAATAATGTTCTGAGGGAAATGAAGTGAGAAAATGTTAACTTGAATATGGCGTACCCTGGCTGTTGTCTAAGGCAAACAAGGGGAAAATACCACATCTTATTCTTAGCACTACATTGCATTAAACATAAACTGTATCAGTGTACCTACACATAATGAGACTGGGGCTGTGGAAGAAAGGGAAGTCATGCTGTGTGTGAGATGCAATAATGATAGGGCAGGAATTATTAATTACTGGGGATGTCTAACGATGTCAGAGAATTCCAAAGAAAGCAGAAAAAGGAGCAGGAATTATCAGCATTCACTTTTTTGTCCCGTGTCTGGAACAGAAATCAATCCAGTGAATATAATTGGTATTCACTGTTGTTTTCAGTTGGCAACGGATACATAACTGATTATGCTGCTTCCACCCAGTTTGCATTGTGTTCCCTTTGCATTTAAATGAATGGGATGGGATGGAATAATATAATGGCAACCTAAATTATGTAATTATTTAAATACTTTACATAAGTTATGTCATTTCACCTCAGTGAAAGACAAATAATGAAATTTTTGGCGGAAGACAAACTGCAGCAGAATAAAAACAGTACTGTATGCAACAAATACAGGGCAGAACAGAAACCAGTGTCATGTAATGTCCATAATGATGTTGCACGAACTTGTCTGTGGACCTGTCTGTGACATTCATGTATCTATTATCCAAACTGTTTTAACAAACACACTTGGTGAGGGAGAAGGAATTTCATTTTGCCAATACCAACACACTGCATTTTCCCTACAACAGAAGCATTATGCTGGGGGAAGATAGTCTCACATTTACTGCTCATATTAAAAATGTTTGAAAACCCCTCAGGAAGACAAATTGGCATATGCTCATGAGAGTGAGTGAGAGTCTGTCACGTGCCAAGTTGCAGCCTGGCTCCATTGCCAAATTAGTGCCTTTGTCTTCAAGCGCAATGCTGTGTATTTGAGTCAGACAACAGTGATTGACTAGTCAAGAGAAGTATTCAAGTACAGCACTGTTGATTAAGGGGTCTGCTGCTGCATCACTGTGGTATGCTTGCAGAAGCAACCACTATAAATAATGCGCTTTTTTCAAATGAAACTCTTACAAGGTTAGTGTTTCTTGACTTCCACTTTGACTGTGGTGTAGCTGAAGTGTCTTTATCCTTGGCCAGTGTTTGCTTGCCTTGGTCACTGATCATGTTCGCTGCATTTGCAAATTTAGGTCCTGTGACTTTTGCAGAGTGACCAGAGTTCAACATTGTTCTAAATATATTAGAATGTGACCCCCTGCCCCTAAAAACATAGGGATTGACACAGAAGGCTGTTCATCAGCAGAATATGTGGAGGAACCAAGAGGGAAGAAACCAGAATTTGCTAGAAACAAACCTTTGAATTTTGAGAACTGTTTCATAACAGTTACTTATGAAAAGGTTGCACATATTAAAAATGTATGTGCCTGTGTCTATTTCTAGACTATTGATGGGCAAACTGCGCTCCCTGTCTTGAATTGGCTCAGTGCAAGCTTTCTTGGTGATTGTCCTGAAACAGATGTCTGTTTTAAGAGAGTTCCAGATAGTTAGCACATGTGCAGTGATGGTGCTGTGCAATGTGCACACAGTTGTATATTACATCCTCAGAAATGTAGTTTGATCTCTCTTGCTGTGCACCCCAGCCCATTGAACACCAGCTATTGTGGAAAGGCTTCTCAATCTCCCACTAAAAACAACAACAACCATGCAGGAGAAGAGAGGGTCTGAATGAGGAGGCAACCACCACATAAAATCTTTGCAAGAAATAATTGAGATAATTGATTTACACAATTGGAGAAGTTGCTTGCCAACATGAGCCTGCTTGTTGATTTGATGATTTGATCACATAGTTCACAACAGTAAATGAGAGTTCATTGCATATGAGGCTGCAGTGTTGAAAGAACTTCTTTTCATATGCCTTCAACGCAACTGAACTGGCTTTGTAGTTTTGCAACAATCAACAAGAGTTTCATTGAGAGTCATGGGTTAACATTAAATTAAGTTTGTGTACTTTGTGGTTTGGGGCACTTGGCCTCCAGGCTGTACACCTTCAGAATCTCATTTAACATTCCATACCAGAGAATAGCTTCTTGAGGAAACAAGGCTTGTTCCAAAATGATATGAACATTACCAGCCTATCAAATTCATATACTAAACCAGATAACTAGTGCTGTCACCAACATTTCATAATCCAGATTGACTCAGTCCAATAGTCTCCAGTGGTCTCTCTCTCCATCTATGAATTGAATGTGTGTTTTGATCATCCCTTTAAATTCAGCTGGTACCACATCTTGAACAGAACAACACCGCAACCCAAAATTATTTCATAACTGGGGCCCTGAGCCCAGAGTTCAAATCCAGAGCTTTATGTGCTGATACTCACCTTCCCAAATTACATAACGTACATGATAACAGAAGTCATGAATTTCTCGCCCTTAGCTTGACCTTTTAAGTATTGCCATTTGACTGTGCCACAAGAAAGAGTGCTGTGATATTTTTGTTTGTTATGAAAATCAAGTCCAGGTTGTTGATATTTCTGTGTGCTGTGATTTAAATGTTCATCTTATGCTATACAAAGATCAACTCAGGAAAATATGTAGCATATACAGATAAGCCCAGTTAAAGCTGAAATGTCTGGTTCTGGCTGCCTCAGGCTACCCACCGGAATGAGGAGGGCCTGGGGAAGGAATTTTCTTATGAAAGAAAGGAAATTGTTTTCGTCTGTTCCCTTGTCTTGTTTACACTGGTCTGATTAGTCTCTCACGGCACTCAAAAGTGGGAGAATTTTATAAGTGAGCAAAATGGGCTTGTCACCCAAGTTCTTGACCATAAAGCCAGAAATTCTGTTTGCACAATGTGCTCCTTTTGAACAGCATCTGAAATCCAGTTCTCTCATGTTGCAGAGGCTGTTACATCTGCATAATCCCATTGTTTTTTTGTTATTCACGCCTATTATTGTTATTTGCACCCTTCACCAGCAAGTCCCAAGGCAGGTTACAACAATTTAAAACACATCTCTCAGGCACACAAAGGCCAGGATAAAGCGTTAGCTGAAAGCTGTATAGTGAAGGTGTGACATGCACCAATGCAGGGAAGAAATTTTACAATTTAGAGCAGGGGTCAGCAACCTTTTTCAGCCGTGGGCTGGTCCACTGTCCCCTCAGACCATGTGGTGGGCCTGACTATATTTTTTGGGGGGGGAAGTGAGCGAGTTCCCAAGCCCCACAAGTAACACAGAAAATGCATTTTAAATAAAAGGACACTTTCTACTCATGTAAAAACATGCTGATTCCCAGACCTTCCACGGGCCAGATTGAGAAGGCGATTGGGCTACATCCAGCCCACGGGCCTTAGGTTGCCTACCCCTGATTTAGAGGAATGTAAACTGAGTGGTTAATGTGCATAACAAGCCACTGTGCATATTCAAGTGTATATAATCATTCCATGAAGAAGGAATTATGCACATTTCCCAGTCGAGATACATAATCTGCAATAGGCCGTGGGATATGTGCATATATTGACAGAATTTTATACGTTCTCTAGTCAGGATACCTAACCTTCAACAGGCCCCTGGGAGTGTGCATATCTCAATTGCATTTTGCACATTTTCCAGGCAGTATGCACTTTCTCCAGTCAGCATGCAGTCTCCAGAAACTTGATCCCCCCCTCTTTCTTGTCCAGAAATGTGCAATTTGTGCACATGTGCGCACCCCCAGCTGTTTCTAGCCAAACATGTTTTTCTCAAGTGATATGACACATACATTAATAATGAATATTACTACTACTACTACTACTACTACTACTGCTACTACTACTACTACATCATTTTCCCTACTCTTCCTCTGAATGGGGCCTTGAATGGGGTGAAATTTCTGACAGAGTTGGGGAAATGTTCATGACTGGTGATGATAAGTGTTAGGTTATAAATGCCATTTTGGATGTTGTGGTCAGTAAATGCTTTCTCACGTTCCTTTCTTGCTTTCACTAGGCCCCTTCTGGAGCTTCCACTTCAGAACCCTCCCTGGCAGCTGCATTCCCCAGTCCTGTTGCAAATGCTGAGAAAGTCGAGCCATCCAACAACACTTCTACCCAGCCTTTCTCGTTGGAGGATGCCATTCCAACTTCTAGCAGTCTTCATGGGAAGGGTATGGGGGAAACGCAGCTGGTTACTTCTGTTCCAACTGGCGCCCCCACCAATGAGAGTAATCCTGTAGTCCCAACAAACCCTGCTGTGCAACCCAGCACTGCTGCCCCAACGCCAGGTAAGAGCAACTGTCGGCTGAGGAGATGTTGTAAGCCTGCCTTTAAATGCTACTGGCATAGTTCCACAATCTCAGCTCTTAATCTGACTGTTCATTTGCCAAATGTTTTGACAGAAGTTTTCTTCTAGTGCTTGTTTAAAGCATCACATCTTGCTATCTTAGTTCGGAAGAGGGGAAAAAACCTTTTGGTGATATTGTACAAGATCTAGGAACGTATCATTCTGGTTTTGCACTTTTCCACAGCTACTCCTTTGTGTTGTGCATCGCTTGATTAAGTGAAATAAACGTTTTACAGTGTTTGGCCTCGGATGAGAAATAATTACAAAAAACTATGTACAGCTGCCTTTTCTGGGACCCTCCTCTAACTTCAACCTTCAGTTTGAGATCTGCTTTTAATTTTTACATTTTACATCTCTGTTTTCTACGTTCCCATTCCAACTTTGTCATTCTCCTTCTCTGGCAGCCTGGCTGGGACTTTCATACCAACAGCTGATGGCTAAGCCCCCAGAAGCATCAATTTCAGATTTCTCCCTTCCGCACACCTGTGCTGTGCCTGGTTCTCCTCTTTTGCACCCAGTTTCTGTCAATCAGCAGCAAACAAAATAAAGCTCATTTTTAAAAAAGAAAAGAAAAGAAAATGGTGGCTGCTGGTACCACTCAACTGTGCTCATCATTATAATAATTAGCGTTTATATAACACATTTCAAGTATTCAAAGAACTTCACACTCTTTTATCTCATGAACCTTTGTAACAGTCCTGTAAAGGAGGCCAGTCCTTTTCTCCTCAGGTGGAGTGTGTGTGACTGTGTGGCTTGCTTAAAGTCACCTAGTGGGTTTGTGGTTGAGGTGAGGTTATTTTGCAACTCTCAGTCTTGGCCTCCATGCTATATCTCTTCTCCAAGTGTATTTTGAGGGAAGGGCTCATGCTTTGTATACAGAAGGCTCCAGGCTCCATCCCTTGTATCTCCAGGTAGGACTGGGGGAAAGCTCTTGTCTAAACGCTAGAGAGCCACTGCCATGCAGTGTAGACCAGTGGTGGGGAACTGGTGGCCCTCCAGATGTCGTTGCACACCTGTTATTGGTCATGCTGGCAGGACTGATGGGAGCTGCAGTCCAACATCTGAAGGGCCACAGAATCCCTAGCACTAGTTTGGGTAATACTGAGTTTGAGGGACTAGTGTTCTAACTCTATATATGGTCTATGGTCATATATGTTTTTCTCTCCTCTCTGTTTTTTAAATAGATGCTTCTGAAGGTGTTCTACTGTTCCGTATCCTCCCCGCCCCCCTTATTCTGAAGCTAAAGTGCCATTTCATTTTTGTTGTATGTTTGTTGCAAGGGGGCAATGAAGGGCTGGTCTGTTTGAGAAGAACTGGAGTGCTTTTAAAATTGAAACAAAGCATAAAGATCAATTTCAGTGATACCACCCCATATGCAAAGGTACAACAAGTACCAGAGAGTTAAATTTTATGGGATCTGCATACTTACTTGGACCTTAAAATGCTTCTCAGTTTCCAGCTCAGAATAGTGCAAATTCTTGCTATGTTTGCAAAAGGCTAAGCTTACAGTTGAATAAATAGAGGCTCTTGTCCCTCTCAGTTTGAGAAAGAGCAGCTAGATTGTCTCCTGAAACATATCTGATTCAGCTCTTCTCATCTCTACTGCACCTGGCTGACATCTCCCTTCAGTACAGAGCACAAAGTGCATGTTGAATTTTCCAGAAAGATAGCAAAAGAGTTTAATTTCTGTATGATTCTGTTGGTTTGTATTCACTTTCAGTTTAAAATCTCAAATGACATCTAAGTTTAAAGGATGGGATGTTATAGTTTAATAATTTGTAGCTTGTTATTTCTAAAGCTTTGCAACTAAGGGCTTGTGGTGCACTTTAATTTTGAGACGTGGGATGATTTCTGCAAGCAATTTCTGTGCCCGGGGTTATTACGCACAGCTTGCTTCTCATCAAAAACATGCATTTCCGTATTCCAGGCTCCAGAATATTGAAAACTGCTGTAGTTAATTGAGAAGCATATGACTCATTCACACAATGGCCCCTTTTGGATGTAACAGGTTTAAAACTGTTGGTTGGCATGGCATGCACGACAAGCAGCAGCAGCCCTTAAACTTAGTGTGGGTGAGGGAAGATTGGAAGCTTTCACTTCTGGTTTAAAACAAACCAGAGTTTCTCATTGTATCCAAATGGGTTGGGGTGGAGGACTCTAGTTTGTTCAAACATGTCAGGATCAAGCCATACTTTAAACAAACCAGTTTAGACATAATAAGTGCTTTTTTCTGGGGGGACACAGGGGGATGCATACCCCTAAACATTTTGTGAATCTAAGTTTGGCTTCATTGAGGGGCAGTATTTCAATATGAGTAGGAAAATGAGAGTGCCCCTAACCTTTTTTTTTTAAAGAAAAAATCACTGGACATGATGAGAATCTCTGGTTAGTTCAGAATGGAAAGTGGATGCTTTTGATCTCCTCCTTACAGTCGTGCCTTGCTGCATCTCGGTGCTTTTTAAAATGAATACATACTTCTCAACGTGTTCTACTCTCTCATGCTTTCCCCTTCTTTTTGAAGTGACAATGTCATATACTTTTTGTACAACAAAATGGCTGTTGCAAGGAGGAAATGAAGGGCTGGCCTGCATGCAAAGTTCAACCATGAGTTACCATCACATCCAAACTGAGCCAATACTACTTCCACAAGCATCTGGGTATATGAATGGAAAATGTAACATGTGAAATGGTTTTGTCTTTTAATTTTTAATTCTCTCTCTCTTACAGTTATTAAGAAACTGGCAGTTTCTGCTGGAGACAGTGTTGAAGTGACACTGCCAAAGAATGAAGTGGAGCTGAATGCATACGTCTTGCCTCCACCACCTAAAGGTAGATCCCAGGGGGCTATGGCACATAGTACGTGGTAGCAAACCTGAATTTGCCACCTTGTTAGTTTTGCTGGAAGAGATGCATGCTCCTTTAATGTCAGCTCAAGATAGGCGATGAAGCTGGAAACGCTCAGTCAAACCTGCTTGGTAATCAACAGGTAAAGCCTGTCCACATGAGCATGGCAGGAGGAAGTTCATCTGGGCTAACTCCAAGATACACTGGCCAGTTCTGAGCCAGTTGTGTGTACACAACCTCCACATGCTGAATTCCACTTTGAACAGCTTTTGATATACCCTGAGAGTGCAAATATTTGCAAGAGTTCAGGGGAGGCTCTTTCCTGAGCAGAGATGGTTGCTTAGATGGGCATAGAATTGACTCAACTGTATATATTTTGGGTGCCAGCTGCTACCATTTTGTGGGAGGGATTAAAGCACATGCCAAATTAAGTTTTCACAATTAAGGTGGAATAAGTGCTCTGTTGCCCTAACATAACAAATCCACTTTTTAAAAAAGTTTTGCAGTTAAGTAAGTGCAAAATACACTGAAAAGTGTGGGATGAATGAATTATTAATGGGAAGATGTCTAAAATCAGAATGAATACAGGATGAATGGTCATTTTCATATAACTATCCTGTAAACAAATCAGAGCACATGCTCAACAGTCATAGTCTAACTACCATGTTATCTTTGTAGAAGTAAATCAGGAGTAATGTTACATAAACAGGTCATCTGGAAGGGCTCTATAAATACTATTATATATATTTGGTGTTAATTTCATTTTATTTATAAATAAATTTCCTTGCAAATAGAAATATAGATGGGCAGTTGGAATAAGCAACAATTTCCAGCCTGCTAAATAAGCATGTTATGTTGCTGGAAGTGTGCAGTGGTGAACCTGCATGCTCCGCTACTGGGGGTGGAGAGCAGTCGGGGGCGTGGTGCGCATCCTGGGGGCGTGGCACATTGCCTGCGGGGGCAAGGTGCAGCGCGTGTCTGGGGGGGGTCGCCGCAATGGCAACCTACCAGAATAGTGGTGCCGGGGGTGGTCCGCACCCCCGTTCCTCTGCCAGTGGAAGTGTGCATTTTATTTTGCAGTATTCGATACATGGCTTACACTGCAAGGTTTTTTTGGATGGGATGTTTTAAGTGTATAGTCTCCCTTCTTTAATTCTGGTGCAGTTAATTAGATTTCATATAGCAAGATATTCTTATATTTTACTTTCCCACTCTGCAGGGATGGGAATGGACAGTCCCAAGATTTAGTATGACATATTCTGGCCATAATCAGTAGGAAAAGATTTCATTTTTTTGTTTTCAAATCTCAGCTTATATGAGTATTCCTTTCTATTGCATCAGTTTCACTCCCAATATGTGCTGGACCACCACATGTGGATATAACACAATTTAGTATTCTGAAGTGACATTAGTTTGAATCTTCAATATAAGGCTTAAGCTTCTGAGCTGCTTTGATCTTCTCATTCAGTTTCTTTTGATAGTGGGCTCTTCTAACCTCTGGTTGGCTTGTTTGTTTGTTTGTTTGTTTAGGGACTAGCTACTCCTATGACTGGAGGCTGATCACACACCCCACCGACTATAGTGGAGAGATGGAAGGACAGCACTCACAGATTCTCAAATTATCCAAGGTGAATCTCTTGCTTTTTGGCAACTCTTAAATCTAAAACCTCAGTTGTAGGCTTTTGCACTGTCGTGCTGCAAGGTTAGGGGAAGCAAATGTTACAGTGTGTAATATATATATGTACTGAAGCTGCTTTATGCTGTCAGACCCTTGGCCCATCTAACTACATATTGTCGGACTCTGAGTGGTTCTCTGGGGTGTCAGGTACAATGAAACTGTTAGAGGCTTTGAGTTCACATCCTCTCCTTGCTTTTGTTGCGTTGCTGAGTCCACAGTAGATGAGAAAAATAAAATATCCCCACTTCCACCTGAGCACAAGGCCCAGGTAATGCAGGATGTTAGGGTCCAAATAGAGAAGGGGTTTATTCTCTTCTGAGCAGATGGCATCAATGGCTCATGTCTCTCATAATTCAGTATATGTCAGTTGCTTGTTATGAGGTACTAACATCATTGTGGAGGTCTAATTTAGGGGTGGGAACAGGTAGACACAGCCTTGCCCATGTCTAATGTGCCGTGTTCATTTTCTTTGCTAGCTCACAGTTGGCCTGTACGAATTCAATGTGATAGTAGATGGTGATAATGCTCACGGAGAAGGAATGGTGAATGTGACAGTAAAACCAGGTATGCTTAGCAGGTACATTTATCAGCTTGTAGGTTATATATTTCCTTTTTTTAAAAGCAATCTCCACAAAAGCTTGAGATGCAAGGCAGCTGGTGTGTGTGTGTGTGTGTGTGTGTGTGTGTGTGTGTGTGTGTGTGTGTTTTAATGAAAATGACTACAAGTTCTCCAGGGAGAAATTTTGGCTAAATTTGCAGTGGGAGGGGAGGTGTTGGGTGAAACAGAATGTGAAAAATCATTCACTAACTTTTGCCTTCTTCTTTGCCTTGTTTTATGGTGGGTGGCAGCAGCAGGAGTGCTCTTCTTAGTGGCTGCCATTTTCTTTCCTGTTTGGCATAGCTTTGTGATTAATTCACACTTCCCAAAACAAATTGTGAGCCAAAATGAGGCCAAATTGTGAGCCAGAATTTGCTCCCTCCAAATTTGGTTGCTACTACCAAGGCTGGACATAGTTAATATTTTTTGGAAGGTCATAGGATAGAAGCATTGTTCATTTGCCCTTATGTACCCATTTGGTCCTATTCCCTCCCCCCACTGTACTGTTATCTCTGGCTATACAGGTTTTTCTTCTATTTCAGTGCACTTAAGACTGCAAAACCAGGGAACTGAGAGAGCAGGATGTTTGTGCACAGGAGTCCACAAATGTTTGACTTGGTGGAGGCTAGTCCATTAGGGCAAGTGTGGCACTGTCCCACCAACCTCTGCCTGGTTCAGTCCAGGGCCACCATGTCTGCTTCTTATTTACAACCAGTCCTAGTGGCAGCAGTGGCAGCCAGCTTCCTTCTCCTTAGCCTCAATGTTTATTTTCATTTTATTTACTTATTGTGTTTATTTGTTTCTTTTTCAAAAAATGAAACAAAGCACTCGAAGTGATGCAAAAGGGTAAAACATCCTAAAATTCACAAGTTACACACACACACAAATCCAACTTCACCCCACTGAAAGATAAGCAGAAAGTTAATATCTAAGGGCCAGGGTGAATAAAAATGCTTTCGCCTGGTGCCTAAAATAGCTAGAGGTGGTGCCATGAGTGGGTGGTTGTTCCTACCCGTTAATGGATGTTGAATGGCTTATACTCCAAATTCACATCTTCCTATCTTTCACCTAGGAAACGTTGGGTACAACAGGTGTGTGGGTGTGTATTGTCAGCAAATCTAGAAACTTGGTGTTTGTCACTTGGCCATTTTCCCATTAATGCCAGGGTTGCCTCTCTGCCTGCCAGTTTGCAATTTCCACCAGACAATGAAGTCGCTGCTCACCACTGCCTCTGCTATCAGTGCTTACCTGATATGTTAGAGGAGCTGCTTGAATTGAGTCAAAAGCCAGGCTTTTCTCTATGGTAACCAAATTCACTATAACAGCAATAATATTGACCTGGAGTTTTTGGATTGGTAGGGGAGGGCACCTAGATTTCTCCCCCTCTATCCCAAGTAATGGTTTGTGTTGCAAACACTGCAGGGTGGGTAACCTGTTCCTTTCCAAATATTGTTAGATTACACTCCCCATCACTCCAGACCATTGGCCATGCTGGCTGGGACTGCTAGGAGCTGGAGTTGAACGATGTCAGGAGAAATGCAGGTTAGCCTTCCCTGCTGTGTGTACTGTCTTAGAGGGAGTTTGACTGAATTCAGTCTGGGTGCTTTCCCCTCCCAACAGATGAACAGTGCTATGATAGCATAGCCCAAGCCAGATGCTGCAAACATAGCAGGAGGCCTTGATCGTTAAGAACCATTGATCTAGCACACTGGTCTTCAGTTGGTGAGTCGGGACCCATTAGTGAGTTGTGGCCTGATCCAAGGTGGGTCACAACAGGAGCACTACCACCATGCAAATGAAAGATTAAAAAATGAGTCTTCCAATGCATGCTTGAGTTAAAAGCAGGTCCTGTTTCTGAAATGGTTGGAGATATTTGATCTAGTAGAGTAGTAGATCAAATAGGATTGGAAGGATTAGCAGCCAGGTGCTGCTGCTCCCCTCCCCTCCCAGGGAGTGGTAAAAAGGTAAAGGTACCCCTGCCCGAATGGGCCAGTCTTGACAGACTCTAGGGTTGTGCGCCCATCTCACTCAAGAGGCCGGGGGCCAGCGCTGTCCGGAGACACTTCCGGGTCACGTGGCCAGCGTGACATCGCTGCTCTGGCAAGCCAGAGCCGCACACGGAAACACCGTTTACCTTTCCGCTATAAAGCGGTCCCTATTTATCTACTTGCACCCGGGGGTGCTTTCGAACTGCTAGGTTGGCAGGCGCTGGGACCGAACAACGGGAGCGCACCCCGCTGCGGGGATTCGAACCGCTGACCTTTCGATCGGCAAGCCCTAGGCGCTGAGGCTTTTACCCACAGCGCCACCCGCGTCCCTCCCAGGGAGTGGTAGGAATACCTTTACCAACACTATTTCCTTCAGAATGTCACAATGGCATATAAACAAAGATAATTGATGAGAATGGCCATGTAAAAGAGCCTGTATTTCACCAGCCATAGATCTCCTCTTGGATATCCTTTGTCCATGAAAAGGGAGGAAGTAGGCCTAATGGCTTCTAATAGCCAGTGATTGACTTCTAGAATGGAAAGTACCAAGATTCAGGTCTCTGCTGTCTAAGAAACATTTTCACCCTCATTCTGGTTGTGTGAGAGCTGGTTTTGATTCCTCAGTGGCAAGAAAGGCAAACTATGTACTGTATTACTATTCTTGGCATAGTTATTCCTCCAAATACCACTAGGTGCTGCTAGCAGGGCTTAATATGTTCCAAGATTCCTCAGAGCTCTGTACTGTAGCAGTAGAAGGAAGGCAGTGACCGTGTGGAAAGTGCCACTTCCTGTAAGCACTCAAAGCACTTCACCGGCTATATATCTGTGTTCCTTACAATAATCCTGTAAAATAGGTTAGTGGTATTATTTCCATATTGCAAACAGGAAGGTTGAGGCTCAGTGAGCTCGCTTGCCTAAAGTCACCTAGGGAGTCCCATTTCTAAGGCAAGTTTTAACCACAAGTTCAATAATACATTAATATGTACAATTTAATATGTACAATTTATGTAGCTGTTTGTGAGTGTTCAAAGTGCTTCTTGTTTACTGTTTTATAATCTTTATCCCATGTTGCAAATTGAAAAGACGGAGGGTAGTTGCTGAGGTTGGGAGAGACCATCTTTCCTTAAGGCCATTTAGTGAGTTCATGGCAGAGGTGAGGTTTGAGCCCTAGACTTCCTGATTCACAGCTCCATCTCTTAGCTACAATGCTGCAGTTGACAAGGATGTTAACTTTCTATGGTGGCTGTAATAGTTCTGTTTTTCATCGCAGAGCCTCGAGTGAATCAGCCCCCTGTGGCCATTGTGTTGCCCCAGTTCCTGGAGATCTCACTACCAACTACCTCAACAGTCATTGATGGCAGCCGTAAGTACCTACTAAAACTAGTGCAATCTATTCCTGCAAACCTCAGATAAAAGTCATGGAGGAGACCGAGTGAGACTGTCTATTAAGGAACGGGATTCTAGAGGAATGTGGCTGATGTATAATTAGGATAAGTTCAAATCATGCACTGACTGTTGATCAATTTGTGGGCACGTGTAGATTTGTAGCTACTGGTCTTCACTGCCAAATGCATTAGTTAAACTAGGGCAGCCCCAACTCAGTACAAGGAAAACATCTGCTCATTGGACTTGTTTAAACATATGAAGCTGCTCTACACAGAATCAGCCTTCTGGTCCCTTTAGCTCATGGCTGGGGTATCTTTTTCAGCTCAAGATCTGCATTCTCTTCTGATAACCTTCTGGGGGCCACATGCCAGGGGTGGGCAGAGCTAGAGGCAAAAATAAGCAGAGCAATAGATGTGTGTTTTTTCTTTGTACAGTTGGCTAGTTTTTTACACACACCTCTCTCCAGGCCAGGAAGAGTGCAAAGCCGCTCTAGTGAGAGGGTGGCAGAGGAGGGGGGCCAGATAGAGAGGCTTGGAAGGCCACGTTTGCCCCCCTCCCCAGCATGAGGTTTCCCATCCCTGCTTTGGCTTATTATTGTATTACTGATAGTGGCTCCCCAGAATCTCAGCCAAGGATCTTTCCCAGCCCTTCTACCTGAGATGTTTTTTGCTGAAGTGATGTGGGATAGAGTCTGGGACCTTTACATTAATGGTGCATGGATTCTACCAGTGTGTTCATTCCTATTTTCATTCAGCAATCCCATTTCTGGGGACTATCATTCATATTTTAAATACTCTTTCTTTTATCACATGGCACATTAAGCATAGCTTCACAGTTTAAAAATAAAATTAACTCTTGTCCCTTGTGAAAGTTGCTATATTGATAGTATGGCCTTAAGCTACTTTGTAAATAGATTTAAATTCCTCCTGAACTTACTGGGAATGTGGCTTTATCTGTTTCCATTGAATCAGACAGTACTGATGATGACAAAATAGTCAGTTACCACTGGGAAGAACTGAAGGGGCCTCTACGGGAGGAGAAGGTATCGGCAGACACTGCAATTCTGAAACTGACCAATCTGGTGCCAGGAAATTACACTTTCAGGTAAGACAAAGAACCTGGGATTGTACCTCTGGTTTGGATTTTCTAGATCATAAGATAGATGACACAAACCAATTAATGAAATCAGCCCTTGGTATGTTAAACCTCTAGATAACCCTTTGTTCACATGAACCAAGGAAAACAATGTATCAGCTAACAGTTTACAAAACAAACCAGCAACAACTTTTTGCTACCTAGTCACATTTTATAGTTTCCCTGACCATGGAGGTTGAGGTTATTGCTATATTCATAAAATTGTAACCTCCCAATTTAAACTGTTATATGTGACTAGACCGCTAATGTGAAGGGGGTTAGGGAGAATAGTGGAAGGAATGCATGTGCCATAGAGCAGAGCTTATTTTGCCCCCAGCTCCAAACCATTTTTTTCACCCTCTCTCATTATAAAAATAGGATTTGGCATATAACTATTGAATATGTCACTGTGATTTTAGTCGGGGATAAAAGGTTCAGGAATAAATTGATTATTCTAAGGCCCACCTGAACATGAATTTATTGGGTAAGGATATCTTTAGATTACTTTCCTTTATAAAAGGTTCAAGGTAGCTCAAGAAGAGTTCTCCTGTAATAATTCAATTTTCTTTTGGTTTAGTGTAGCCGACCTCAGCTTTATAGTTATGGAATGAGGGTGATTCTGTGTGTGTCTGCCATTTGCTTCATAGTTGAAATATTCAGTAGGTTGAAAAATGAAATTGTATTTGCTAAGCCTAGCAAAAAATCGTTTTTAGTATACTCTATGGTTAAACTGTGTGTCTCAGCTTTGTGTTCTCTCCCTGGGAATTGGGGAGCCAGTAAAGTGCTTCATCCTCATTCACACAAGTTTTTTGGGTACCCAGAGAGTAAATTGTGGTTGAGTTGGTCCTCGCCAATCCCCCTGCTGCCACACTAGCCAGAACTAAGCTGTGGTTTGGCTTAGTGTTTTGTGTGAATCTGAGCTTGTGTTTTGTCTTCTCAAAACAAATCACAAGTGGTCAGCCTTGGTTACTGCTTGTGTTTTGGTTGGGAGCAAGACAAAGCAAGAGCTCAGGTGTGCATATAATGCTCATCCAAACCATGGCTTAGCCCTGGGTTGTGCAGCAGCAGGAAGACCTGGAGAAGGGAAAAGCAGCTGCGAGTTTCCTTCTGGGTATCCACACACCTGCTTGTTCTTGCTAAGTCAGTGTGGCTTAACATTATGTGTGAACTGGGTTCTTTCCACCTCTAAAGGTCTGTTTCCTCGTTGCTTTACCAATGATTTTAAATAATTAATGACTTGCACAGCCCCTATTACAAGCCTGTTTTTAGAAGGGGAAGAAGTTGGGAGTGTGTTCTACAGCAAATGATCCAAATTCTGGTTGTAAAGATTTTTGTGCTTTTACTTGTGAAGTCTGCACATGCATTTGATTATCTCAGTTGCTAAGCTCTCTGTCTCTCTCTCTCTCTTAATCCTTAGGAAGAGAGTTTTGTTAATGCATTTTGAAAGTCTTTTAAACAGATATTTTGGCTTCAACAGTGCATACCAGCTTTTAAATTGTTTTAATTGCAAGCAGGACTGTGGGTAGCCTCATTCTATTATTTTTTATGTTTTTCCAGCTTGCAGGTCCTGTATGGGTGACATTTGATGAGAGCAATTACAGAACCCACTAGCATATATTATGAAATTGTTTGAACTGTAAATTATGTGTTTCCCTCCTGTCCACAACTCCCCAGCAAATTATGACAGGCTATTCATGCATATTGACCTTATCAGCAGTAATGAGGCCAGGAGAGATACACATATGAAGTTGTCAGACTGTTGGTCCATCTAGTGCTGCACTGCATACTTTGACCTGAGATCCTTTTAACTGCAGAGCTTGATGCTCATCCTGATTGGGACCCACTAGACACAAAGCATGGGCTCTGCTACTAACCTATGGCCCTTCCTTATAAAAAGAGCTTCTGGATGAGGGGCTTTAGTGTCACCATGCTGCTTCAGTTCCAAGCCTTTTCCTTGCCATGTGGCTCCAACCTCCCCTTTCCCCAATCTGTAAATGGAAATAAATGACAGAGGAACTCTGTGGAAATGTTCATCACACAGTTGGCTAATTAACAGTGCTTTCCCAAGGAGCACTTAATACTTTACTGTAGGGCCACTTCTCATACAGTATGTTAGAGGTAAATAGTACAGAGAAAACAACTTGGCCTGTGGCCAAGTTGCCACAGTTGCCAACTTGGCCTGTGGCCTGTTGCCACAGGATGTTGTGATGATATCCATTAGCATACATACATGGTTTTTTAAAAAAGGATTCAGTTGATTCATTAATTAGGAGCTACGAAATGTGAGTGGCAGAAGACTGACATGACTTTTCAGAGGCAGAATACTTCCCACAGTACTTCCCCTTCAGCAATAATGGGATAAAGGTAAAGGTAAAGGTACCCCTGCCCGTACGGGCCAGTCTTGACAGACTCTAGGGTTGTGCGCCCATCTCACTCAAGAGGCCGGGGGCCAGCGCTGTCCGGAGACACTTCCGGGTCACGTGGCTAGCGTGACATCGCTGCTCTGGCGAGCCAGAGCTGCACACGGAAACGCCGTTTACCTTCCCGCTAGTAAGCGGGGTGCTTTCGAACTGCTAGGTTGGCAGGCGCTGGGACCGAACAACAGGAGCGCACCCCGCCGCGGGGATTCGAACCGCCGACCTTTCGATCGGCCAGGCCTAGGCGCTGAGGCTTTTACCCACAGCGCCACCCGCGTCCAATAATGGGATAGATACAGCCATTTGTTTTTGTGAACTTGCCTAAAGCACACTAGGCAGACAAAATGCAGTTTATTGGTTTGAACTAGTTCTCTTATTTGTTTAGCCATTGCCTAAGAGAGAGCTGGTTACACTCATCAGTTGAGCCCTGGCACATGTGAATGGGTTGCCTCTGAAATAAACCACACATATAACGTTCAGTTCACCAGCTTTTCAATGGAATGAATTCATAATTTCAGCCACTAGTTATCCTGTGTAGAGAAATTTTATTATGTCATGTGTGATTTTGCCTGAATAATTTCTCCACATGAAAACAGGCTCTTCAGAAAAGCCAAAAAATGATATATCTAATCATTTTTTTTAAAAAATACAGTATTTGGGGTGGGGGGAGTACATTATTCTTACATGTTTAAAACCAGTGCTCTGTCAAAAATAGGTTACTATTGGTGAATGAATTCTCAACTCAGCAAGAGTGAGAAAACAAGATTTTTAAAAATAGACTTTTTGGGTCTGTTTGACACAGCTTTGAGTTTATTTATTAAAGGTGATTTCTATACCACTTTATAAAATAATATTTTAAGGTATATGGCAAAATAAAATACACAAACATTACAAAAATCTGCAATAAAACCATTATTATTTGTGAATAGACTTTGAGTCTGTAAATGTGTATCTGGCATTTTGATTTCTTTATTTTCTTGTTATAAATACGGACATGTTTGAATATAGCTTTAGTTGCATGTTGTACATTTGTTTAAAATAGCATCACATTTTCATATTTGCATGTTTCCCCCCTCCTTGTTCCAGGCATCTGTCTTTGCCCCCCCCCCAAGTTTATACATATTCAGCTTAAACCATTAATTTTCTTCCCTTTCATTTGGGGCCGGTGGCTCCCTTTGAGCTTTTCCCTTTCTGTCCTGATCTTTGAATTCTCTTCCTCCCTCCCTCTTCAGCCTCACCGTGGTGGACTCGGATGGTGCCAGCAACTCCACCACTGCCAGCCTGACTGTGAACAAAGCAGTGGATTACCCACCCGTAGCGAATGCAGGCCCTAACCAAGTTATCACTCTGCCCCAAAACTCCATCACCCTCTATGGGAACCAGAGCACAGATGACCACGGCATTGTCAGCTATGAATGGTCCCTCAGCCCCAGCAGCAAAGGGAAAGTGGTAGAGATGCAGGTAAGATCTTGGGGCTCTGTCTTGAGAGGAGTCAACACACTTCAATAAACATTTCCTATTATGTTTAAGTTCATGTAAATCAATTTGTTCAATCACTGTAAACACCTCTGACCCAACAATTACTTATCTAATCAACATTTTAAAAGATACGTGTGTGTTCAAACATTGCACACCTAGTAATTTTGTGAGGGTGTGTCCCTTCTGGCTAATTTTGTTGCTGAGCTTAATTTACTGTATGCGCTTTGGGTACATGCTCTTTCTATGTGTCATTTATTAAGTTCTGTTGGATTTCTAGTATTATCCTTCCAGCCCACAGCAGTCAGCCTGATGTGTATCAAAAAGCCCACACACAGGACATGAGGGCAGTAGCACTCTCCCACCTGTGTCCCCCAGTATCTGATATTCAGGAGCATGCTGCCTTTGATCCTGGAGGTGTTACGTAGACATCATGACTAGTAGTTCTTAGCATTTTTCTCGGTCAGTTTGTCTAATCCCCCTTTTCCAACCTGGCAGCCACAACTTGTGGCAGCGATTTCCCTATCTGCTGTGTAAAAATAAATAAATGCATTTATATAAAGTTGCTTATATCACACTCTTCAAAGTCGCTTACAGTAAAACAATATTTCTGATTCCTGCATTGCAGGGGGTTTGACTAGTTGTCCCTCGGGGTCCCTTCCAGCTCTACAATTCTATGAAGATCCAGTTTGGTGTAGTGGTTTGCATGTTAGTCCAACATGCAAACCACTACACCAAACTGGCTCTTCTTCATAGAAGAACCTAGGGTTCAAATCCCCATTTGGCCAGCGTCACCTTGGGCCCGTCACTGCCTCTCAGCCTAACCTACCTCACAGGGTTGTTGTGGGGATTAAACGAGGGGGGAAGGAACCACGTACACCACCTGCAGCTCCCTGGAGAAGAAGGTAGAGGAGAATTGCAATTAATTAATTAAATAAATAAATAGTGTGATTAAAAGTTGTAACTGCTTTTCTAAACCCAAGCAGTGAAGAAGCAATGCCAGTGTCCTGGCCTGGCATTCCAGAGGCAAGAGGCTGCCGCAGAAAACGCTGCTTTGCATATTAGCACCTTAATAGCTGAGGGGGCAGTGAAGAGCTCAATTCTTAGACAGAATTGTATGGTGGATAGTAGTCCTTCATTAGATGATCCTGGGCTCCAGTATTACAAAAAAGGGAGGAAAAACTCCCTGTTCCAGGCATAGTAGCCAGCATGGTGCCTTCCAGATGTTGGTGGGCTATAACTCTCACTGGCCATGCTGACTAGGACTCCAGGGAGTTGTAGTTCAGCATCATCAGGGGAGGGGGGAAGCCATGTTGGCTATCTATGCCCCTATATTGACTTTCTCCTGGTTCTGCATGACCTACACATCTCTTTCTTGTCCCATCTTCTGTTTTTTCAAAACCAAAAAAACCACAAGCATCTCAAGGTGGATAAATTACTGGATGGATCCAAGGCATGATTGGAGGGCACATATTGCAGCAGCCTTGTGGAAACCAACCACATCTGGGGCTGGTCAGTAGCTAGATAGGAGACCACAAGCACATGCCCCATGTATCCTCTAAATAATTTTATTTATTCCACAAAATGTATAAACCGCTTGATTGTTTAAAAAACTCCACCTGAAACTGGTTTATATAACTTTGCAATGAGTGGTGCATTTCTTAAGTCTCCTTTGATTTTCTTTCTTTGTGAATGGGGACTTAAATTCTTGGTATTTGTTGTTTCCAAGGGAGTGAGGACTTCAACTCTGCAGCTCTCTGCAATGCGTGAAGGTGACTACACCTACCTGCTGACGGTGACAGATTCTGCTGGCCACCAGTCCACTGCTGAGGTCACAGTGATTGTGCAACCTGGTACGCTTAATAAGGGTTTTTGTGTGTAAAACTCCCCCCATTATATATGAGAAGCCTGTATTTGACATTAGTATATGTGGGACCAGGGTTAAGGGGGATGAAGAGATAGTGACTTCATACACAGACATTTAAAGCACATGACTCCCCCCCCAAAAAAAAAAATTATCCTGAGAATTGTAGTTTAGCCATCAAATAGATATAGTTTCCAGACCCCTTAAGAAAACCCTTAACAAAGTTCCCAGGATTATTTGGGAGAAGTTTAAATATGGTGTATGTGCAGCCAGTGTGTGGGGGCTGGTTGAGAGCAGCTGGTTTTCTCTTGAACCTAGATAAATGTCTGGTAGCTAATCATGCCCAACACTGGGACAATCTGAAAATAAGCTCTTCTAGACAGGCAGTGATCCAGACAAAGGAACATATTTATAGGTACCATTGATTTCAACCATTGAGACCAATGGGTACTCCAAAGCACGTAACTTTGGATCATTCCCTTTATTATTATTTTTGTAAAGCCTATTTTCCCCAAATAGCAGTGCCACCCACTCCCTTCAATTTCAAACACAGCTTGCTGTACAGCACAGATAATTGCTATTCAGGAAAAAGCAAAAAGTCAAAGGCTCTGCTGGACCAAGCAGAAAGCTAGTCTTGCAGTTTTCTGGATTGTATGCCCTTTGATTTGTGTGGTGCTATGAAAATGTCAGCCTGATTTCTGAGTCATGTGAGCTTCCATTTTGTGAAAAGACACAAACCTATTGTCAAACTGATCCAGAATGGAAGACACTGCAGTTTTTAAGCTGGGGGGAATCTCTTGTGGTTAAGATCTCCACCGCCACATGTCTTAACTAGATTTCCTGCTTAATCAGATTTCTTAAACACCGTTTGAATCTGGCAGAGAGCATATAATTCTGTGGCCCACTCACATTCTTTTAATCATTGACTATGCTGTTGCATATGCATTGGCCCTTAGTGTGAGGAGTGTTAGGATGCTTCCAAGCAAGTAGTTGCTAGTACTACCTAATCCAGGTATGGGGAACCTTTGACCTTCCAGCTGCTCCTCAGCAGCAACTCCCATCAGCCCCAGCAAGCATGCCCAGTGGCTAGGGTTGACAGGAGATTCCCCATGCCTGGCTTAATAATTGCCCTTCTATTGTAAGCTTTATATTTGACTTTCTATAGTAATGTTTTATTTTGAAATCTTAAAGATAATGTTTTATCTTCAACCACTTTGATATTTTTTTCTTAAAAATATAAAGCAGTCTAGAAAGGAAATGAAGGAATAAATAAATAAGCTGCAAACACAATTGTAATTGAATTCCTATAGTTTGTGAGCTGTGCATCTCCCACACTACTTGGTGTGATGAAGCCATGTAGCTGGAGAAAGGACTGTTTAGTTGAGCATGCAGGGTTGTTGTGTTGTGTGGTTGGTTTTTTTTTCATTTTTCTGCTAAGCCTTTATTATTTAGGCTCTACTATGTCATTACTTTAATTTTTTTAAGGCTAAAAATTATCTTAATGCTAATTAAATGCGTTGGAGCAGGGACACTGCTAAAACGATGCTGACCACAATATTTTGAAGTTAATCTTGCACTAACATTCTTTTTTGTTAATGTGGATATGGATTGTTTTAGTGCAACTTAAAAAATAAACATGCTGATAAAATGACACTAACTGAAAAGCTAATAGTGAAGATTTAACAAAGTATGAACGTATGGCAATAGGTTTTCCAGCCTAATATGTTATTGCCAAAGTCAAAACCACACCCCTTTTCAAAAAAAACCCTGAAGGGTTTCACGTAGGCAGTCTATGCCTGTAGGGATTTTGGTGTTGTTGTAATCTTGGTACACACACTGATTAGATTTCCTGAAGTCTGAAAAAAAGATAGGAAAAGTACGGGGGAAACACAGGACAATAACAATATAATGACTATATTGTATATATGCCTCATAGAAAATGAGTGAACAAAGCATGGCATTTCCGGGGTACCCTTCCAGTGTGGGAACGTCCTTGGTTTTGTTTTACTGAGGGTTTATGAAGGGTTTGTTGCTCAGAGGTTAACACATGCTTGCATGTACAAGGTCCCAGGTTTAGTTCCCAATCTCTGTGATTAAAGGCTCTCAGGTAGAAGCTGGAGAATGCCCCTGCCTGACATCCTGCAGAGCTGTTTCCAATCAGCAGAGGCAACACTGGGCTAGGTGGACTTGCTTCAAGGCTGCTTTGTATATTCATGTGAACTATGCTTGTCTGTCACCTTCCACATAAGCATCCAGTTCATTTCAAGAGTGCCTTCATATCTCTCTCATTTTGTGAACTTTTGCTCAGAAAACAATAAGCCTCCCAAGGCAGATGCTGGTCCAGACAAAGAACTAACTCTTCCTGTGGACAGCACCACTCTGGATGGCAGCAAGAGCTCAGATGATCAGAAGATTGCATCCTTCCTTTGGGAAAAAACACGGTACAATTTCTCTGTCTCCCTCTTGCATACACATGACCTTGCACATGATAATGCAGAACTATGCCGTATCGTACCCTAACATGCACAGTGTATGTAGAATCTTAAAAAACAAAACAAAACCACTATTATCCAGACCAGCCTAAGCCAGCAGTCAGTAGTTGTGCCTCCTTAGGATGGGAGAATTGCAAGGGTTCCCAACTAATCAAATTGGGGCGGGTGGGGGAATGGTGCCCCCGCCTAGTTTTCCTGATTACACCTCATTTCCCCTGTATTCCATACAAGTGAATAGGGGGAAAGCTTTTTCATTCCATTCACTTTTATGGAATAGAGAAGAGGGGCTATGATCAGGAACAGGAATGGAATAATCTCTCAATTTCAGTTTGCTCGTTTTCCCACGTTTCTTCAGTAAGTTGTGAAATTTTGTTTTTTAAAAAAATCCTCATGAAACTAAAGCTAAATCCTCAGTATTTTAGCATGAATTTCCCCCTTAAAAATCACATTTTTGCATACAGTTTTGCATTTTTGTATGTTACTTTCACCAATATATTGATTTTTATGTATATTGTCCTTTAATATTTGCATTTTTGTGAACATTCTTTGGTTTGAGAACTAGGTGGCAAAATTTGAATGTCTGCGGATTTTGATGGATGTCTGTGTTTCAGTTCTCATATTATTTTGGAAAGTGTGAATTGGACAGATTTGGCATTACATGAGAACTGAATCAAATTTCTCCTCCAATCCTAGTCAGGAAAACCCCTGAAGAGAAAGCAGTACCCTATCCCTGTAATATACAACAAGATACAGGGAAGAATAAAAAAATGCTTTGCCTACAGCACAAATCATCTTGGCCTAGCCCAGTGCACCTGGGAGCCTAGGATCTTGGCAGAGTGTTCAAAGAATATTCCTCTTCTTTTCTGTGCAAAAGTTTGACATCTGCATGCTGATTCTTTTGGGGCTTTTTGCCAGGGGCCCAGATGGTGTGAAACTGGAAAATGCCAACAGCAGCATCGCCACAGTCACTGGGCTTGAGGTCGGGACGTACGAATTCACGCTGACTGTCAAAGATGAGCGGAACTTGCAGAGCCAGAGCTCCGTTAACGTCATTGTCAAGGAAGGTGGGTAGCTGGAGGGAACACAGCCTTTGGCTAAGAAGGCTCCACATAAGGAAGCTCTTCTATTCATTGCAATCCCTTGGTGATGAAACAGAAGGTAATATGGTCTGGGGTGATAAGCAGTGGTGGAGTAGGACGAGGGAGAAAGGGCTGAAATTCCTTCTTGGGCCAGAAAGCTTACAGGGTGGTGATGGGTCAGTAACCATATCTCAGCCTTCCCCAACCTGTTACAACTCCCATCAGCCCCAAACAGCATAGCTCTGCTGGCTGGAGTGATGGGTTGCAGTCCAAAACATCTTGAGAGCAACATGTTGGCCAAGGCAGGGCTAGCTTAACTGCACTGGATTGTTGTGAGGTTGTTGTGTGATAGCCCTTGTTTAGCCCCCTGAGCAACTTGACAAACAGACAAGAGAACATTATTCTTGTTTTCCCTCTTCCGTCAGTCTTGGATTCCATCACTGCCCAAACCATGTGCCTCTGTTTCTCCAAATGGCCAGATGATCCCATTTTTTTCCTGGGGCTTTCTGTGAGAAAATGAAATCCAAGCACTAATGCCTGTTAAAATGCTTCTACTGTTCACTTGCAAAATCAAGCTTTTGAAAACAGGCTCCACAGAAATAAAAGCGCTCTACCTGAAGGCTTCAGGAAGTTGATCATAATTGCCCGTCATTATTACTCATTGCTCCTTCACTACATTTCAGTGTATTAAAATCTGGTTTTTATCTTGGTTATTCCCATGACAACCCTGCGAGGTATGGTACAAATCTCCAGCCTGAAGCACACTTGGTTCTGTCATGCCTACATCCACTTCTCCCAGCACTTAAGCGGCAGGAAGCCTGAATCATTGAGCCATGTGATGCATTTGAACTTCCCTGCTATGCAGGTGAAGGCGGGCAGTCAGATGAATGTAAGAAGAATCTTGCTGGATCAGACGGAAGGCCCACCTAGACCTGCTCTCTTGTCACACAGTGGCCAGCTTGATGCCTGTGGGAAGCCCACAAGCAGTACATGAGCATCATAGCACTTTCCCATTCATGTTCACCAGCAAATGGTATCCAGAGGCATGCTGCCTCTAATCCTGCAGGTACCAAATAGTAATAATGACTGGTAGCCATTTATAGCCTTTTATCCTCCAGGAATTTGGCTGATCCCCTTTTGAAGTCACCCAAGCTAGTAGCTGTCGCTCAGTCTTGTAGCAAGTTCTGTCTTTTAACCATACATTGTGCAAAGTTCTTCCTTTTGTCTGTCCTGATCTCCTACCTTGCAGCTTCCTTGGATGTGTGGGGTGTGTTTGTGGGGTGTGATATAAGTATCCTCATTTAAAGGTTCAGGGTATCCTGAGGAAGGCCTCAGATGTGGGACAGGGGTCTGTAGTGTGAGTGGAGCTCTGGAGAAAATAGAGGTGGCTTGTATAAGCAGAACTCAACTCATATGCAAGCTGTTGTTTAGTCGTTTAGTCGTGTCCGACTCTTCATGACCCCATGGACCAGAGCACACCAGGCACTCCTGTCTTCCACTGCCTCCCGCAGTTTGGTCAAACTCATGCGCATATGCAAGCTACCTCCACCTAATTTCAGCCAATTCACCATTCTCAGCGTAGATCCCTGCATTGCATGCTGAGCCTTTCAGAGGGCACTGCCATCCCTCAGCAGAGGGCAGGAGAGGGAGGAGAGCAGGAGGAGATGGAGAATTGCCCCTATGCAATAAACCCACACAGTCCATTGCACTTTGCCAAAGACAACCCAGTGCTCTACACAGCAGGACTTCTGACCTGGATTTCCCAACCAGGTCACCTGGTAGTATTATATTCTTCATCAATCATAACTAAGTGATTAGAATTGCTAAAGAAGAATTAGTCAACTTTTCCTTAGTTATGGATGGGTTACAGTTTGCTGAAGCTCCTTTGTATTCTGATCCTTTGTCCTCATTTCATACTCAGAGATCAATAAGCCACCCACAGCAAAAATAGCTGGGAATGTTGTCATCACCCTTCCTACCAACACAGCAGAGCTTGATGGCTCCAGATCCACAGATGACAAAGGAATTGTCGCCTTCCTTTGGACTCGGGATGACGTCAGCCCTGCGGCTGGGGTGAGTAATGCTGCTATCTATTCTGCAGTGTTTACTTGTGTGCAAGTGACTCATCGAATTTTAGTGAAGCTTGGAAAGTGCTACATGAGTTACTGCTCTCAGCCAAGAAAAGAGAGACCGTCCAATGTACTGAATTTTCTTTTTCTTCAGCGCCTGCTTAAATCTTTCTAAGACCAGTTACACAGAGGTGCTTTTGGAGCAAAATGCCACAGGGGGAAGCATGTTAGTTTATTATAGCAAATGCAAAGAAAGGGTTGGTATAATGGGAGCTATGCCTCTGAAGTGCACTCAGTTTTGACTTAATTTTTAAACCTCTTCTTCTGACTCATGAACCTTTGAAATGTCTCTGATTTTTTCACTATACCAACAAGTGTGTCTTGTGACTAGGACTGCATGTATTTCTTCTTCAAAATTCTGAATTTTGCTGCATGTTCTTAGAGTTCAGATGTTGAAAGTCAAGATAGTCTCAGTGCTCCAAAGGCTAGTGATTCCTTCAAAGTCCTGGTTACAAAAGGGCATCTGGAAGAAGATGGCTTTTCTCTTAAGCTGTTCGCTAAAAAAACAGCCTAGCTTGCTTCTAACTCTCCTCTGCCTAGGGGAATCTGGTACTTGTTACAGTGAGGGAGGGTGTGAAATGTTTCAGGAAAATGCTCTAGAAGAAGAGCTCTAGAAGAGGTCACCCTAGACCAGAAGTGGGAACCTGTGGCCCTCCAGATGTTGGTAGACCCCAACTCACATCAGCCCCAGCCAGCATGCTCAAGGAAGATGGGAGTTGGAGTCCAGTAACATATAGGCGGCAATAGGTTTCATACTCCTCCCCTAGGTCTCCCTGGGACCCTGCACTTCTGATATATTCCCTTGTATTTCACAGGATTGCAAGGTGCATCATCACCATTGTATGTTTTTGTTAAATGCAGGAGGTGTTAAATAACTCAGACCACCATGCGGTGCTGTTCCTCTCCAACCTGGTGGAAGGGACATATTCATTCCATCTCAAAGTGACTGATGCCAAAGGGGAGAGTGATATGGACAGAGCCACAGTGGAAGTAAAACCTGGTGAGCTACAAATACACAAGCACACACACTCACATGTACTTGATCTTCTGGAAGAGAAACTATTGCTAATTAATCATAATAATTAGCATTTATATGCACACTTTTTAAAGTATTCATTTATTGATTTTCAATACTGTAATATATGCACATTCCTTGCGTGTTCAGAGCACTTCACAAACAGTACCTTAGTAATAATGGCCTACATATTGTAAAGATTACTAACTCCCTATTGTAGATGTGGAGATAGAGAAGGGGTGCATCCATAAGCCCTGCTTAATGGGTGAGGTGAGATTTGGACTGAGGACTTCCTGGTAGGGATGCGGGAGGCGGGGGTTGGTTTGGATGCGAAACTACCTTACTCTCATTTCTTGAAACAGTATGTGATTGTGAACCAAAATGCAACTATCCTTCAAAATGCACACTTCTCCATATTTTTGTGAATTTTGTACAAAAAAATCACATGATTGGGGATATTGCTTGCAAATATGTGTGTATTAGGAGAAATGCACACTAAAATGCTGACACATATTTGGGATGACTTCTTAAGAAAACAAACAGGGTAAATTGACTGGTCCTCCCATCCCTACTTCCCAGCTCACACTCTTAGACCTTGCTTTACACCATCTTTCAGGACTAAGGCCCTGTATCAGTCTGATTACAGAAGAAGTATGATTGATCTTCTACACATTTACTCAGAAGTAAATCCTGTTGTTAGACATGCAGTATACTGGTTAAACAATACCAGATCCCTCTATAGCTTCATATATGGCTCTCTTTATTTACATCTGTTCATATCTTTTTAATAACATTTTTTATTGATTTTTCAAAATATAAACATCATAAAACAATACCAGTACTTCTCCAATTTTCCATCTTCCTAAGTTAACATCTGTTGATATCTTGACACAGTTGTAAGAACTGGAATCCCATTTGTAATTGGATGCAGTAATAATTGTTGCAGTACATGCATGGGAAAGGTTTTGTGACTGCCTAACGAATGGATGCGGGTGGCGCTGTGGGTAAAAGCCTCAGTGCCTAGGGCTTGCCGATCGAAAGGTTGGCGGTTCGAATCCCCGCAGCGGGGTGCGCTCCCGTTGCTCGGTCCCAGCGCCTGCCAACCTAGCAGTTCGAAAGCACCCCCGGGTGCAAGTAGATAAATAGGGACCGCTTACTAGCGGGAAGGTAAAAGGCGTTTCTGTGTGCGGCTCTGGCTCGCCAGATGCAGCTTTGTCACGCTGGCCACGTGACCCGGAAGTGTCTGCGGACAGCGCTGGCCCCCGGCCTCTTGAGTGAGATGGGCGCACAACCCTAGAGTCTGTCAAGACTGGCCCGTACGGGCAGGGGTACCTTCACCTTTACCTTTTAACACTGAGAAGGGACTCGGGTGGCGCTGTGGGTAAAACCTCAGCGCCTAGGACTGGCCGATCGCATGGTTGGCGGTTCGAATCCCCGCGGCGGGGTGCGCTCCCGTCGTTCGGTCCCAGCGCCTGCCAACCTAGCAGTTCGAAAGCACCCCCAGGTGCAAGTAGATAATAGGGACCGCTTACCAGCGGGAAGGTAAACGGCGTTCTGTGGTGCTGCGCTGGCTCACCAGATGCAGCTTTGTCACGCTGGCCACGTGACCCGGAAGTGTCTGCGGACAGCGCTGGCTCCCGGCCTATAGAGTGAGATGAGCGCACAACCCTAGAGTCTGTCAAGACTGGCCCGTACGGGCAGGGGTACCTTTTACCTTTAACACTGCGAAAATGGGTGTAGTATCTGTGATACTTTTTTTTCCGACAGCCAGAGGGGGGGTGTTAACAAGATCTTTTTTGAGATTGGAGGGCAGGTGTTAAGCAGAATCCAATGGGGAGTATCAGGAAATGGAAGAATTTGAAGGGAGGGGCAAGAGGTCAGGAGTTGGTTCAGCATCTGATTATAAAACAGCCTAGTTGCTAGAAGCTATGCTCTTCTCTTGGAGTTTTTCCAAAGGCTGAATCTCTTGGATGCTCTGCACAACCTGTTATTTTGGGTTGGCTTCTGTGCCAAGCTGGGGATGCAAGGATTCACACAGCATGTACATTTGCTCATATTTCTATTTGAATAAATGTAGTTGGGAATGGGGCAAGCCAAAATTTTCAAATCAGCTGGAATTCATCAGTGAGATGGTACTTATGCATTCTTTTCAGATCCAAGGAAGAACAACCTTGTGGAGATGATACTAGATGTGAATGTCAGCCAGCTGACAGAA